GATGCCAATTAACACCCACATACTGAAATTTTTTTTTGTATTACTAGAATAACTTCAGATCCCTGGATTCCTCTAATTCTCTAAGAAGGATGGAAGACACCTAAAATAATAACTAAGTAAATTTAGCTGCCACCCTCAAGAGTTGGGGATGTGGTGCAGATACGTTGGATTTAGAAAATAAAGTAACATTTTTTTTACACCTGAGTTTGAGAAGCAAATTCATACTGCACGTGTTTCAGAAGTATTTTTCTCAAGCTGTTGTTGGTCTATGAATTTTATTTTTGGTGCCTTTTGACATAAGAGATTATTATTTTGTAATTTGTTTTTGATGAGATTTTCTGTGTACTCATGTATATGGTATGTGATTCAGTTTATGTGTGTGCAGTCAAATCTTTCAATAATTTTCTTTATGCCTGTGCTCTTGTCTTTTTAAATAAGGATATCCTTTATTGACTGTGAAACTATGGAAAATAAATTTTACTATATTTTTATTCAATATCTTTAATGTTGTTTTCAAAATATTACTTTGATATTTAGTCCATCATAAATTGAGAAGTATGTGAGTGTGTGTGTGTGTGTGTGTGTGTGTGTGGTATGAATACTGGGATCTATGTTATTTTTTTCTTAATACAGAGCCCACTGTCTCACCAGATTTATTTTCCTTTTCTAATACAAAATCTATAAGATAGCCCATCCTAATATATTCCATGCTTCTATTTTTATGTTATTCCTGATCTCTGAGGAAGACCAACTTATGAAATAAAACAAAACCCATGGCCATATCCCAGTATATACCTTCTAAACTTACACTAACATTCCAGGAAAAAATAGTAAATATCTATCTAACTAAATAAGGCATGAGTAAAAATAATTTTTTAAAAAAACCTGCAATCAATTGTGAAGAGATTTTTGTGAGCCCGGAGCTGACTTGACTCTATCTTTGCAAAAAGCAATGTCAAAGTTGCTGGACAGTTGTGCACCGAAGGTTGATTTTCAATTATTGAGAAACTTTTGGTTTGTATATATCTATTCTGTGTGCCTCTTTAAGCTTTGAAATTCACATTTTTACAGTGGACTTTGGGGAGTAAATGTCTTGCAAAAGACATGATACACCTGTGAACCAGCTGATTTTCTATTTCTCCACAAGGGTAATATTTTTTCCAGATTTTCCCATCCTAATACCATTCTCGGTTTGGTCATGGATATAAAGACTGAGGAATAGATACTGCCTCATAACTGTTGTGAAAAGTATAAATTTGAACCTGACTAAAATCTAAATTTTTCTACTAAATTTAACTAAGATACCCTGGGACTTACTCACGAAAGTTAGCCTAATTCTAAGGACTATAGTTTTATAATCTATCTTTTCTCAACCACTCACACTAAGGAATTGACTTTTCCTGATGCTGATGAAAAATGATAGTTCACATAAAAATGTGAGAGTCTGGAAAATTGATACAATATTTAAGAACATACCCAATCCATATCTTAAAACTTCACTTCTTCAATGACATTTTATTGTTAGTTTGTGTGAATCTGTAAAATTGACAGCTTTAAAAATAAGAATAAAAAACTAAACAGAAATATATCATTCAGAAATAATACTTCATTAAGATTTTCTTTTATTTTTTCTGTTTTCCCCCATGTAATTTCCATTAATCAGGATCATGCTATAGATACAGTGTTTTGATTTTTCTCCATTCATTTGCAGTGTGTTTTGCTACCTTTATATTTGGTCTCCATTCCTTTTTGTGTAGTAGAGAACAGCCCTTCTGTCAGCAACTGGGATTCTGCTGGGTTTTAATTGTGTAGTTTTGCCTTTACTTTTCAAGGAAGGATATGCATTTCAGGCTGACCAATCAGAGGACCCCACATCCCTGAATTTATTCATATGAGAGATGCACAGCCAATCAAAAGGATTATTTTCCACATTGGGTGAAGGTGGGAGGGGAAGGCACTTCCTCCCATTGTGACCCTACATACAAGGCTACAAAAGTGACCATGATTGACTCTGTCATTACATGGAGAGATTCTACATGAGAACGAAGTTAGCATACAAAGGAGAGCAGAGCAGGAGAGAGTGAACAAGAGTCTAGTGAAGAATTTGATTTTTTTCTCCTACTGTACCTCCTGGACTTCCATCTTCTGTGAGTATATGTAGTACCTCTTATGTTTAAGGTAATTTGTTTGGGATTTCTCACTGTCAGACAGTCCTACTACTGTGATATCATAGCACAAAATATTCCATATCTCTAAAATTTCATTGGTTAATACATTTGCAAATTCTAGAAAAAGCCCATTCTAAGATTCCATAATTTCACGAATATAGATTACTGTCTTAATAAATACTAGTTCTTATTAAAATGGCCATTATTGATGTATATATTATTGTTATTGCTATTAACATATCAGAATCAATTACATCTTTCCCATATTATTAGACATATACATTTTCAATCTTTGTCTTTCTTAGATAAACCTTTCTGTCCCTCTTACCACAAAAATTATTGCACTCCCTCTCATTATTTCCTCAGCTTAGAATTCTAGGTATTAAAATACTCTGTAAAAAAGCATCTGGCTTTTAAAACCTTTTAAATATCTGCCATTGTTTTCTGTCAAAAGGATAGTAACAATTTCTTTCTGATCAATGCATGATTGGCCACCTTATTATACTCTTATCAGCACTGAATTTGCAAGGTATTATATATGTTCTAAATATTTTATTATAAATATAAAGTATGCCCTGTGCATGTCCTCAGTCCTGTAGCCCTGCTGCTGTATGAACAAAGGGAAGGGCCACAGGACCCTGAACCCTGCTGTTCATGTATGTGCTGTCCAAGCCCAAGATGTTATAGAGGCTCCCCATTCTCATTATGGGAATGTGTGCTGAGATCACTCTTCTGAAAAGACTCCCTGGAGGACACTGATAAGGGTGTGGAAGCAGGGATGGGAAGAACGAGTTATGAACATGGTTTCACGCCAGAGTGCCCACTCTCACATCACCATGTCAGACAATTATTTTCTTTTTTGTTCTATTCTCCGCACTCCTATGCTGAACTTTCCTATTGTCTCCACTTCCTGTTGTGTCCCCTAACATCCAGCTTTCTTTATCTCTACAATACTCTGGACTTTACCACTCACAAGATTGAAATCCAAACCTAAAATCAGCCACAGCTCTCCACCTCCATCTCCGTCACATATAGACTAGGGACTCTGGGTTACAACTGTTAGAGAATCACTCAGGTTAGAGGACATGCTAACAACAACAACAGCAAAACAGTGCCTTTATTCTCCTGTTGTTTCGGTGATGACTATAATGTATATAAAGTCCTTAGCATAGTACATGCCATATAACTGCTCATTTTGTTATCTATGCTATCATTATTTTTATTTTAGGTTGACCCCAACAATGTATTTATGAGCTGACAAAATTTGTTCTTCTCTCTTCGTAATTCCAGGATCCTGCCCTCTCACTGAAGGGCAATATCCCCAGTATTAGGATCTCCCCAGCCCAGCTCTTGAAACATCTGTTCTCTGAAGGACAGACAGCACAAGGACTGAATACGGTAAGTAGACCACAGGCAAAGGCAGGCCTAGAAGGCTGCTCTCCAGGCTTCTTAGATCTTAGACCTAAGGTACTTGCCTTTCTCTAAGAGGAAAGCCCCTTCCAAAATTAATGAGAAACAGTCAGATTTGCAATAGGAATAGAAAATGATAAATAAGCCCAAGAGTCCTCTATGAAAGAGGAGACTGTGCCCTGAATTCCTTAGACATGTTACTACTGCTCATTAGCCTGTAAGGAAAGTTTTAAAAAAATTATTTATCATAATTTACCATGCAGCATAATATCATTAATATGTACCAAATTGATATTTTCATTCTTTTTAAAATGATTTTTAATGTATGTCATCTGCTTAGCATTACACATTAGTATAGCAAAGACACTTGCTCATAACTTTTTAAAGTATTGGGGAAATATTAGTGCAGCCTACTGCAGGTGAAGAGACATGGAGACACACAGAGAAGTCATGTAATGATAATGAAGTCTCTGATGATGAGGTCGCCATAGTTGCAGACAGGCACACAGTAAGGAAAGAGTTTAAGGGATACAAAAATTTGATCATAGCAGAAACCATGAAGTCTACCTAAGAAAAGAAAAAATGAATGAGAAAAGCAGAAATAAGTGATGCACCTTAGTGGGAGAACTATGCCCAGAGGTAAGACTAGACATAGTTGCGAAATGCACTAAGCAGTATCAGGCAATGAGGCAAGGGTACAAGCAGACACGCAAAGAAGCTTAGCACCTTGTTTACTTGGGTGCTACATACCTCACTTGACCTCTCCTCCAAGGGCATCTATCAGCAAGAAGAGAAAGAAAGTCGTATGTTGAAGAATTTTCCTCAACAAAGAAGGATGTTAAGGAGGGGAGGGTGGATCACTTAGGGCTCTTTTCAGTGCAAGTTACGAAGGGACAAGATACATTTGTTCCAGGTGGAAGGAACAGGTGTGCCTCCTCTCTGCCTCCCCCTCTCTCTCCCCACAGCTGTCTAGATCTCCTGTCTCCTTCCCTCCACCTTCATCTCTCCTTTCATCATTCTTGTGTCCTTCCCTCTCTCCTTTTCCCTGTTCCCTCCTCTTCCTCTCTCTTCCTTCCTCCCTCCCTCTCTCCCTCTCTCCCTTTCTCTTTTGCTCTTTCTCTCCCACACACACACTTTCTCTCCTGTCCTCCTCTCCTTGTCTTCTTCTTTCTTTCACCTTTCCTTCCCTTATTCACAGTCTTCAGGACCAATATACACCTGGTAAGCTCATTTCTTACTCAATATTTCAGAGTTATTTAAACAGAGTCTGAATTGTCACTTACCATTATTTTAAAGTCTTACAGCTCAGAACAGGAACAGCAATGGGCCCTGCCCAGGACATAGAAGCTAACATACTATCACAAAAGAACATATCTCATCACTTTTGTTCTCCACAGAGAAAGGAGGAGGACTCTGGCCACCATGCACCTACTGCTTCTGCTGCTACTGCTGCTGCAGCCACTGCAGCTTCAAGGGGGAGCCCGTCAGTTCGCTTCATATGGTAACATAAGTGAAGAATTTTTAGAATATTTGGAGGAAGTTCGGGGTACAGGGCCTACCAGACCACCCACCAAAAAGAAAATTGTACAGATGTTCATGGCTGAACCTGGAAGACCTTTAACGGACAGGGGTTATTGTTCTGATGAAATGAAGTTTAAAAATGTTCATTATAGGTTCCAGTGTGTGACAGAACATTACTTCATCGATGTGTCATATGAGGAGATGAAAATGATGTGTAGCAACCCAGTAGTGCCATGTAAGAATGGAATTGAAAGATGTAGGAAAAGCAATCAAATAATACATGGAGTGTATTGTAATTTCATGCAAGGAGACAGAATGCCAGACTGTCAATATGAATCTTTTTACAGGAAAGGATATGCTCTTATCACTTGTCGATGGAAAAATGAAACCCAAGAATTTATTCCTGATGGTGTAAATGATATAGTCGCACCTGACTAACAGATAAACATCATCCACCAGAAATGTGTCTTTCTTCCACCGTCATAGCAGAGTATTCTCTAAGAGGTTAGGGTGGGAGGATATAATCCTGGTAAATTTTGATTCTGCTCATTTTAATCAGTCACCTCCCTCTCTTTTCCCCCCACAACACCACTCAAAGGCAACATGGGCTGGGTTCACAGATTGTTCTCTGAGATGTGGTTTCACACAGGTCACATAATTCAGCATGTCTTGAATGTGTTGTGGGTATAAATGCCTGCAATGAAAAGATGACCAGCACCAAGAGGAACAGGAAATGGTTGCCTGAAGTGTGCTCCAAAGACACATTCATGTGATTCTCTAGTTTGGCAGAAAGAATAAAGTGCTTCATTCTAGTGCAGTGGCTCTGGTATGGTTATGTGTGGTTTCTAGATTTGGAACTTTCTTCCTTGTGACATAATTTGGCACAAAGAGAACTCAAATCCCATTGAGACATTTGCACAATATATCTTTCCAACACTGTATTTGTAGGTATTTCACTTGTCTTGTTCTTTCCATACGACACAACACGTGGGTCCATGAAGGAGTAGATCCAGATGGGGGACATCTCAGGATAAAAGTCATTAAATATTTAGGGAAGCAAACTCCCCAAAGTACTTTTCAATTGTCTGATGTTATTTGTGTGAATTCCCACATCTTTTCTTTAGCTTAGACCCCAGTGTTCACAAAACTATAAACAATTTCTCACTTTCTGGCATAGTCACAATTATCCACAATTTTTTTCCTCCCTTTCCAGTAAAAGTAGCTAGATCTGAGAATACACCATCTCAGAAAAAGGCTGGAGAATCATATGATAAAAAATTTATCTGTCCGGTTTAAGTAAAAATTTATCTTCTTTTTTTCAAACTTCTTAACATCTTTGTATTATTATTGCTTAAAACTTTCTGAAAATGGGATAAGGAGTAGTGATGGGGATGGTAGACAGAGTGTCCACTGCTCTTGGCACATTTCGCCCCCATCTGATCTGTTAGTCTCCTCCCATTCCTCATCCCTGTCTTTACAATCAGAGATAAGCTTCTAATTTATCAATTGGTTGATATAAATGAATGCCTAGGAGCAAGAGCTGCTATTTTCCTTCACTGACCAAGGAGAGGGGCACTGGAAAATCATTCTTCTAGAAACCTATCTTGACTTGGAGGTACATAGATTTTAATTATAATATCTGAGTGAATGAGGGTCCCATTAAGCTTTTGTGAATCTCCATGACACCCTCTAAAACCCAATTTTCTATACGTGAGCTGAAGAAATTCTGCACATGGGCTATCCTGGGTATGTATGAACCATTTCATCTGGGCCATGTTCTATCACCAATCTTGCGATTATACAACACACAATATATTTATGAGTATGGTAAAGTACAATTTAAAAAAATGAAAACAACCACAATGTATCTCTTCTATCCAAAATAGCCAATCTGATCTAAATACCTTTTAGAAATAGAACCATAGAAATAAAACAAAGATTATTTACACAAATTTCTCCTGGTGTCTAATATGGCATAAAAAATTCAGAAACTGGCCTCAACCAACTAGATTCCCTAAGAGAGGGCCTGCTGTGGTTTGAATATGTCCCCTCCAAAATTCAGATGTTCCCAAAGTGATAATATTAAGAGGTGAGGCCTTTAAAAAGCAATTCGGTTGTGAGGGCTACTGACTTGTGAGTGAGATGAAGGCCCTCATAAAAGACGCTTCATGCAGCATTCAGCTGGATTGTTCTGGTCTTCTGCCAATGTGAGGACTCGGCAAGACAACCCTCACCAGATGACAGCACCTTCATCTTGAACTTCCCAGACTCCAGAACTGTGAGAAATGAATTTCTATTCTTTATAAATTATCCAGTCTGTAGTATTTTGTTGTAGCAGCCCAAAACGGACTAAGGCAGGGCCAGAACCATAATTTTTAGCTTCACTGAACAAGATATCATAATAGTCACTGTCTAACTTCCATTGGTATTTCTTCCTCAATAATACTGGATTTCATAATTAAGGTGAATGTTATCCATAACCTTGACTTACATCACAAGTTATTCTTTATGCAAGAGTCCTTTGAAATGATGCAACATTTAATTTTAAATCCTAGAGAGAACAGACTTCACAAGAGTCAGAAAGAAAATAGACACACTATTTTGTTTCCTAGACAAATTAAACCCAATCAGCATTCTCTCAAGGAAATTCCCAATGTGCACAATTTTATTGAATAAACAAAGAGAAGAAGCATCTAGCCCAATAAGCACAGAGCATGACAGTTTCTAGTCTCTCTCTAGCCAAACATTCTCAAATGAGATTAGGGCTAGAATGGAACCAGAGCTAGTAACTAACTCTGTGCTGCTCCTTATTGAAGAAAATTGATGATGCCAAACCTATTTATTTCTGTCTGCATGAAGTATAACTGGCTGGGCCACAAAATAAGGCTGTGTATTAGGTCAGATATTTTGTCTAAAGCAACAGAAACTGATACTGGGCCTCTCATCCAAAAGGGAATTTATTGGAAAGTTAGTTTCAGACTCACAGCAAGGAAGGAGGCAGAGGACCAAGTTTATGAATGGTACAGAATAAAGAAGCAGGAACCAGGGCCAAGCATGGTGGCTGACTCCTCTAATCCCGGTGCTTTGGGAGGCCAAGACTAGAGGCTCACTCGAGCCCAAGAGTTTGAGGCTGCAGTGAGCTATGATTACACCAATGTACTCCAGCCTAGGCAACAGAGCAAGACCCTTTCTCTAAAGAAAAAAAAAAAGCAGGAACCAAAACCCACAGTAATTGTTTCATATTAGATCAGCCTGGTACAAATGCTGCCACCATTGATGCTGCCCTTGTAATGATGAATTCTTCCAACAGTTTCTCCAATCCTTGATTCACTCACTCAAGAGACAGGGACCCTGAATAGTGTCTGATTGTACAATCATAGACCACAATTTTTCCTTCAGTCCAGAGAAAACTGGGAAGAGTCTGTTTCTAGCGGTGTTCAAAACACTTGCCACAAACACCTCTTAACACAAAGAGACATGTTAATTCCTTGAAAGGAAATTGGGTATAGTTCAGAGGAGGAAAAGATGCTGACCAGCTCAAAAAATGACAAATGTCTCTTTTAGGCTATAAGTTAAAATTTTCAGAAATTATCTGCTTTGAATATTTGAGTACACACCAGTGATACGGAGAAGGGGAATGGGCAGAAAATGACATTCTGGAAAAGGATGTAAAGATTTTATCAAGTGATTAATAGTTAACATTAATAACAACACAGTATCCATCAATAATAAGTTTGCTATATGTCAAGCACTTTCTGAGTGACATCCATTCATTAACTCCCTGAATTCCCAAAACAACCCTCACCCGATTCATCTGCAAAAATAATGTGCATGGCACTGGCCATTGGATTACATATGCTTCTTTGGGTTATCGAGCTAAAAATTGTGTTTCTCTCTTCGTCACTAGAAGAGACATAAAGTAAGCTTATAATCATTGATTCAGCTTGCAGATTCTATCATCACTTTTAAAAGCATAGATATTTGGTTTGCCCTGCCCTAGTTCCACATCGTTACACTGTACGTATGGTGTTTTAAAATACATTCACAAATTCTTTTTCCCCCAGTTTCATTAAGATGTAATTGACAAAATTGTATATATTTACAGTGTACAGTGTGATGTTTTGATATATGTATACCTTGTTAAATGATTATCACAATCAAGTTAACATATCTATCAGCTCACACAGTTATTTTTTGTGTGTAGTAAGAATAGTTAAGACTTCTCTACTCTCTTAGCAATTTTCCTATACAATATATTATTATTAAGTATAGTCACCATGCTATATAATAGATATCTCCAGGAGTTATTCATACTAACTGAAACTTTGTATCTTTGGACCAACATCTTCCCATTCCCCTGCCCCCCTAACCCCAGCCCCTGGAAACCACCATTCTACTCTCTACTTCTATGAGTTCAACTATTTTAAATTCCATATATAAGTATTTGCCTTTCTGTGCCTGGCTCATTGCAATTAGAATAATGTCCTCAAGGTTGTCACAAATGACAGGATTTTCTTCTTTTATAATATAAGGCTGAACAGTATTTCACTGGGTATATATGTCAAATTTTAAATATTAATATATTCATCCATTGATGGACATTTGCTTCTGTATCTTAGCTATTGTGAATAATGCTACAATGAACATGAAAGTGCAGATGTCTCTTTACATACTGGAAATATCCTCTGGATATATACTCAGACCTGGGATTACTGGATCGTCTGATAGTTCTGTTTCTTTTCTTTTTTTTGAGAGAGAGTCTGGCTCTGTTGCCCAGGCTATAGTGCCATGGCATCAGCCCAGCTCACAGCAACCTCAAACTCCTGGGCTCAAACAATCCTTCTGCCTCAGCCTCCCAAGTAGCTGGGACTACAGGCATGTGCCACCATGCCCAGTAATTTTTTCTATATATTTTTAGTTGTCCAGCTAATTTCTTTCTATTTTTTAGTAGAAACAGGGTCTCGCTCTTGCTCAGGCTGGTCTCGAACTCCTGACCTCAAGCGATCCTCCCGCCTCAGCCTCACAGAGTGCTGGGATTACAGGCGTGAGCCACTGCTCAGGGCTGATAGTTCTATTTTTAATTTTTGAGGAACCATCATAGTGACTGTACTAATTTACATTCCTGCCAACAGTGTACGAAGGTTCCCTTTTCTCCACATCCTTACCATCACATGTTATCTTTTGCCTTTTTGTTAATAGCCATTCTATCAGGTATGAGGTGATGGCTCATTGTGGTTTTAGTTTGCTTATCCTGATGATTAGTGATGTTGATCATTTTTTCATATACCTGTTGACCATTTGTATATTTTCTTTGGTGAAATCTCTGTTCAGGTCTGTTGCTCATTTTTTAATCTGGTTATTTGTTTCCTCACTATTGAGTTCAGTTCTTTGTGTTTGGGATAATAACTGCTTATCAGATTTTGGTTTACAAATATTTT